GGATTTAGACTTGTCTCGGTGCGAGTGTGGTTCTAAAGTTTTAGGTGTCAATTGCACTATTACTTTGACCTTGGATTTGGTTTTGGATAACTTGCAAATCTACTAGCCATAGTTAGCCGCAGACAAACGCCAATAATCTGGGCAATGTAATGGACGACGTTAACGTCTCAGCGACCGCAGGAAACAGCGAAGTAGCTTCTAGTACTCAGACGGCAGCTTTCGTGCCTCACGCTGAGTACGGGCAAGATGAAAATGCAGATAAACTTAGGACCCCCTAACCAAGAAGTCGAGTCTAAACAACAAGATAAACTGGGGGCAAGTCAGAACAAATACAAAGCTACAGTGTCACATAACTAATGCTGGTGTTTACCGGACCAGTAATCCCGTGCAACTGAGGTCTTCTATGAGGAATCCTCAATATATCAGCTGCAAAATATGTCCTCTATCCTCAGACGTCAACCACCGGTTATAAGTAAAACACTGCCCTACTTCCCTTCTGGAAACTTGTGGCAACCCTTTAACAATTACCCTGCAAGTGTTAGGTGATCTCGATTCGATCCTGCTGTCCTCAGCTACTACACCCACAAACATTGTAAACACGAATAAGTTCTTTCCGCCAATTGTTGAGTACCCTAGAGCCGCAGTGTGCTGTCAAAATAAACGTGCTAATACAAATGTTCTAAAAATATCCACGGAACATGCGCGGCCATGGGTGAACCACCTAAGGTCACTACAAATACATGTCAATTACTGCAAACCTCTGACGAGCCCCCATTTCAAAGTAACATCAGTCAGTTTTACTGTGCCACCTGTAAATATAGTAAACCTCAGATCACCCTGCGGATTGCTAGCTATACGGGATTCACCACCATACTGCGAGAGATACCTCTCCGTGCACGGATTAAAACAGGTGGGTGAAAACTTCATAAGAATACATCAGCTCCATCAAAACACTACCAATTCACTTCCACATTCTCCAGTTGCGAATGCAGTTTTTCATGTGAACCGAACCCAGCCACAATGATATTTTACTAAAATCACACTCACCATTCTCCACCACTGCCAGCCACTTCGCATATGGCGATCCCAGAGGAATAGGGAGTCACCTAAACAATACACCATGTAAACGCATGGGTTAGGCCTTTATGATGATACATTCAAACTGGCTCTCATCAATACCCGTTATCTAGTACATAAAATGCACACGCTCCGCTGCTTCGTCGCCCTTCAGCAACTCCATATCCTTGTTATTACCAAATCTTGATGTACGAGTGAGACTGCGGACCATGTTATTCCTATCCAAGGCTATTATTTTTTCGAAAAGACCGATATCATTTTAGCGGAGGTGGTGGTTTCATTTACTTAATGAACAACTTATGTGCTTCACAATGCAGAGAGGAGTAATTCTCATCCCTCGAAGATTCCATTTGGATAACAGCATCCTTGGGTAATAATAGCATGTTGGTCGGTTGTGTTTAATTACCATCGAATTCTAGTGCCCTTGAAAACGGATTGCTTCAAAATACGATGAGGCATGCCTCTGCATTTTTCCTATTCGCTTTAAATTAGTTGGAGGAGATTCCAACTTACCAAACCTTTCACGTGTCTAGTGTAAAGATATGGGAAAGCAAGCTAAGATCTTGATTTGGCTGCTTGAGGAAGGCTGGACACAGCATGTAACATCACACACACGGTTGCATAATAAACTTGACCTCAGATTCACTGCTGGACCCATAGTTGCTGTTATCGACGTACTGGATTGTCTACACGGTAGTAACTATAATGTTGTCAGTTGCCAAATGAACATCGCATATGCACCTAAAGCACCGTTGAACACATGTGTAATTTTGGGAAAATAAACTGCGGTGACTTCATAACCCTTGTACACACTTCTGACTGGACCGATTTATTCCTGTCTTCTAATCCAAAGGTATCCTTTCAAGCATTTATGAGAACAAAAATCGATACAACGAAATACTGTCGTCTGCTCTAGCTCGCATTCAAAATAAGTCACAGACGCAGGAAAAACTGCACAAACGTAAGATTTTATTTGCAAACAGTTTCGAAAGGCTACTGACTTTACACTTCTATTCAGGCGTCACAGAATGTTAATAAAGAATGAAAACCTGAGAATTCTTCGTTCCAAGAAAGAAGAGGCTGAAATCATGAAAAGTGCTAACCCAGTATTTGAAATAACACGATTAATATAAAAGCGGAGTCGTACACAATGAAACCCACCGCCACATCTCACTAAGCCTGATGGTGTCCTTATCGATATTCCTGCAGCTGTAGCTGAAACTTTTAACAACTATACTGCCGATTCTTTTGCTACTGTGAACGATATACTTTGGGATCACTCCACAATACCGTGGGCCACGTATCACTAACGTAGATTTCGATACTGGTTCAATCAAGTGTCATATTAACGCTTTAAAAACTATATTTCATCCAGATCCAGATGGAATCGCTCCAGCACTTTTAAACTCCAGTGGGAGTGATGTACCCTGCATAGTACTGAACTTGTTCTCTGTATGAATGCCAACTGGGTTTTATTCCGATCCTTGGAAACTGACAATAATGACAGCATGCCATACATCCGGGCCTAGACATAAACCTTAAACCTATCTGCCCAGAAATCTTGCTGCTATAATTCCCAGGGTCACGAAGCACCTGGTTAAAAATGAACTCGTTAAATTCCTAATAGCAGACAATTTGTCAAGTGCGCAGTACGGATTTCTTCAATCGTTTTCATGTGTTACTTTCCAGCTAGATTTCTTTGGTCATTTAACGAGGTCGACAGACTCTGCTAAGGCCTGTATCGTACTTTACTTGGACCTTCAAAAAGCCTTTGACAGAGTTTCACATAACACTCTTATACATAAACTTCCCCTTAGTGGAATCGCAGGCTCATTGTTAGCCTGGTTAGAGGCTTATCTACCTGGTCGAAAGCAAACAGTCAAGATAGACGAGTATCTGTCAGAAACATGAGATATTACCAGTGGCGTGCTACAAAGAAGTGTGTTCGGCACTCTTTTGTGATATATGTAACTGGTCTTTTCCTTGTGATAATACATGGTACACCTTATTTTTCATAGATGATATAAAACGTTCGTATGCCACTGATTCTCAATCTCTATCTTTTATATCTGCAATCCAAAGTGACCTAGTTTCAATGGAAGACTGGTGTGTCGGATCTTCCATGAAATTTTCAACATCTAAGTGCAGCATTATGTGCTATGGATGCTTGGTTCCACCTGAATGTTTGTTGTTGTGTGGAATTCCACTCTTTATACAAAATGTTATGTGACTTAGATCTCCGTTACTCAGTTCGTTGAATTGCAAAGAACGTTGAGTATACGATGGCGAAAATATGACAGAGTAGAGTTATGGTAAGCCGCTGTTTATAACAAGCAATGTCGAACTGTACGCCAGACTATTAGTTGAATACTGTGCCATCACTTTTAGTAGCATTAGTAGATGCGAAACGAGTGCAATCGAAGCTACACAAAGGTCGACTGAAAAATAACCGTGTGCTGCGCCTCTTGGCTCACTTATAATAGATGTCATTTGTTAAAATCGAACCGCTATGGCTTCGAAGATTAAGGCTGAATTTGTGTATATTATTCAGAATTGTCCATCGGCTGACATACACTAGTTACTATCAGCCAGTGTTCCACGTCTCTTCATTGTATGACCTAAGAAAAAAGACTGTGTGATAAAACTACCTCGTTGCCACACACCTCTGTGGTACAACACGTTTACATACAAATATCCCACGTTATGGAATTGATTGCCACAGGTCATCAGAAGTACATCTTCGCTGCGAATCTTTAAGATGCAACTAAGAGTATTTAGCTGTTAATGCAGTTAAAGAACTAGTTCGTGCCAGTTGCACAAACGAAAGGGTGAAGGAGAACGGGCCTGATAACATCTAAGTACTAGCGAAATTCTCAATATAAAAGTACCAAAGAATATAACGATAGGGACTTGTCAACACAGCGGGAAATAATGGTCCCTTATCATGTTTTTCTTGCTAGATAACAGCATTGTCGCTGATTCCTTCCTCCTACTTTGTCACATCCTTCGGTATTACTCAAATTGATGACCCCCCGGTGGCCTATGAAAAGATTGGCACATCGATAGGTTGGACAAATGAGATCTATCTGCCTTTCTCTTAGTCAGTACTGTTATATTTTTCGTGTTCCTCAGATTGATGGCCCGTTGGTGACCTATGAAAACATGAGCACATTAATGAGTTGGATAGATGGGTTTTTCTTCGATTTTTTCTTCATCCACTCTGCTTCTTACTGTGCTCTTACTTAGCTTGAAGACCCACTGATGGCATTTTAAAAACATTGGTGAGTTGGATAAACAAGCTTTTTCTTTGGTCTTCATATAATGCTTCCTTTCTATTACACAGCTAGCTGAAAGGCATGAGTGTCTGCAAAACGCCGACCTGAAACGGTGAATGGTTGGTGGCTGCAACGAATCCATCAAATGTATGTACACAATTCTATTTGCCCTGTGTTATCACACCTTATCTCTTGTGTGAGGCACGTCATTCATGCTAATTGAGTTATATGATGTGTGCGGTGCTCAGTTTAACCGTTTGGCTTGTTTTCAGGTCTGCTCCCACACGTACACTGTTTATAAATTATTGTTATTTACCAATGTTATGAATTTTTAAATTACAGTTTCAATATACATATTATCACTCACTTCCTAAAACGTTATTATTTTGCTTTCTTTTCCCAACAATCCGCCTAAACGTATCTGAATCTATTGCAATTGTCGTGCATTTCGACGAATTTTGAATCGAAATCAATGGTGCAAGCATCAATGGAATTGCAACCACAAGTGTTTCGTACAGCAGATTTGTAAAACCATTCTGCATTTCCCTCGTACCTTTGGGCGGATCAGCTTATCTGGGCTGGGCTTCACATAGTTGAGAATATATCAATTAAGAATGCAGGACAAAGAACCAGAAATAGACATCTCCACTAACCGGGAATATCTAAAATGGAAATTTCTCCAAATACAGATCCCTCCCCCAAGGTGACAAAAACGGTTTTTCCATCTTCTGACACCACGCTCAGTTTTCCGCGTTTGACAATGTACATCTCCTTCCCAATGTCTCCCTTTCGACAGATGTAGTCTCCAGGCGAAAACACTTGCAACTGCAGTTTGAGAACCAACTCCACTAGGAGACCAGGGTCGCAGTCCTTAAAGACAAAGGACACGAAAGTGCGGTGTATCCATACGTAGGTATATCCGTGGAACAGCGAAGGATGGGATAAAGTCTGCTTTTATGGTGGTGGATAGGTGTAGCACTTCCTAGACTAATAGTTAGTGATAATTACCCAAGCGATTAATTGCCATTTATAGATATGACCAACGGAACAATGGTTTATAACGGATGAAAAATCACGGGCTTAACATGTATAGTAGGTTGGTAATAGAAGAAATTGAAATTCAGATATTACTTAAGTGGATCAAATAAAATACGCATGGGTAAAGGGCTAGTGTAATTGAATAAAGAGCGATGGTTATAGGAGTGAGATAATACAGGAAAATGCAATAACAATTTCTTATGGCTACTACTAACATAGCAAGTAACAAGCACATTGCTCACCCCACTGTACATGCTTACGTTCATTGCAGTGGGTCATAATTCCAAATTGGCCAGTCAGCCAAAATAAGTGAAAGTAACGAAGCGTAGAGCGTTCACTTCGATATCCAAAGTTACTTTTGAAAATAACTGAGGGGGCACCGACAACTAAGTTTCAAAGAGCGTTTCTGCATTGACAGACCCGAAGGGCGAAGAAATTTCGTCGACAAGCTATACGATTGTGTTGTTGACTCAGTTTCAAGCTATCGCTTCTGAGGTTGGCGTTCGACCTAAGTTTTAAAATGTGGTGGCATAAGTGACTGGGGTCGCTCAGCATCTGGTAGAAATATATAAGGTCACCACGTAGCTGCCGGTAGCGTCCACTGAACAATCCGAATGTCTTCAGTCGTCGCTGGGATGGGAGGTTGCCAAATCTCTCGACAAATTTCGTTGCTTGACGTCGGGGATTTTCAAGCCATGCAAGGTCACAGTTTAGCGATGGATGCCAAGCCTGGATTGCGTATTAGACGTGGAGACGCACGTAGACATTGAGCATCAGAGAGAAGATGGATGAATTCAGACTTCCGAATACACTCCACAAGAGACCAACATGCTGGTTACTTTTTTCTGAGGCGGATTCTGACTGTCTGGAACAACCGAAGTTATCCTTTACCAGCACATCAAGGTCACGTACTTTAGAGCTTGTCTGCGGGCCACGCGCCCCAGGTTTGTAGATTTAGGCGTGTCGATGACAGATGTGGACAACGCGGCACTTGTTCACATTGAATGGCAGTGCATTCCCCACCGACCAATGCCAGGCGTCCACGAGCTTACGCTGGAGGATTAGTTGGTCGTCCATTAACTTGATCACTTGCCAACTTTTAACATCGTCCGCAAAAATGAAAAATGTTGAGGTGATAGCTCTCCATAGATGGTTGAGGAAAACTAAGAACACGCGAGGTCCAAGTACCGATCGCTGCAGTACGACCCACTTCACATGAATCGGGTCAGACAGAGATGTTCGGACCCTAACCTCCAAGTGCCGTTCGCGGAAAAACTTGCCAATCCATCCTAATAACGCATCACCGATGCGGTAGAGCTGCAGTTTGTGCAGTAAGATTCGATAAACCAAGTGATCAAAGGCTTTCGAAAAGCGCATGTAAATAACATCGCTTCCTGCCCCATCCTCGACTATTTCGATCCGGTTGTCATGTGGCGTCAGCAGGTTCATGGTACCTGATCGATGTTGACGAAACCCACGCTGCTCCGGAGCAATGATGTAGTAGCTTATCAAGTAGTCCATCATTACTTCCGCGATGATCGCTCTCATGAATTTGGCGAGCGCAGAGTGAAACCTTACCGGACTGTAATTAGCAGGATCAAAGCGATCTCTTTCCTTGTGAATGTGGGTTATAATAGCACGTTTCCACGTTAACGGAACTAGGTTTGCCTCAAAAGAACGCTGAAAGAATCAGGCAACTCGTTCCATTTCCTGCTCTTCATCGACTTAAGAATTGAAAATCAAAATCCCATAACGAAAGCTTTTATGGGACCCAGGTATTCGGCGCATTTTCATTGGTCAAAGACATGCACGCCATAAAAGGATAACCAACATCGATCGGCCACCTACTGTTTGGCAAGTAGTGCGCTTCGCATTCCATGTACAGTGTGTTTTATTAATCTGTTCCGGAGCTAGGAGCGGCTGCACTCAAGTGCTGACGTACATCGGTACGCTGACTTGTTAACTGTCCAATGCCGCAAATTGCTTTGCCGGCAAGGGGTGAGATGTGACACAGAGACGCGACATGTGCTTCTACGACCGCAGGGCACACCGAGCCGTTCGGATTTGAGAAGTGAAGTTTAGCAAACATCACAGCCGCAAGCGACCTGTTATGCGTGGATTGCAGAGTAAGACCAAGGGAACACGCCGTTCGGTTGTGAGAAGCGAACGTTAGCCAGACACCACAGCCGCAATGATTGCGTCATACCTCGACCGCAGGGCAAGATCAACAGAAGGCAAGCCCTTCGGCCGTGAGAATTGGATGTTATCCAGACACCACAGCCGCACTGAAAGTGTCATGCTTCGGTCGATCGGTAATCGGTCTTCACGCAGGTGAAATAGCCGGCAAAAGGGTTCCCTGCGAAGTGGTTAGTGGGTCGCTGCTCTAGCAATTTAGAAAGACAGCCTGGCCGTATGCGATGGCCGGTCAATGGGCGCCGCCTTACTATCTCCACAAAAGCCGTTATCGCCTCATGACTGGCTTTCAACAAACTCGTAAGCTTTAATTAAGCTGCTTTCGCTGCTAAAGGAAATCACACTGCCGGTAAGTGCACAGTGTTGTTCGCTTTACCGTTTCGATCGCGTGACTGTTACAGCTGAAATTTCACCCTTCATGGGTGCATAAAAACGAATTCTTAACTTGACGTGACAATGCACTTAGATTTCAGTCTGTCCAGACGCACTGATGGCACCATCCGACAGCACATCAATTTAGTCGTGAATGCAACTATTGCTCTCACAGTCAGACAGTTTCGAGTTTTACAAATTGATCAGGCCTTCGATGGTGTTTCTCGTGTACAATGGAGAATATACCTTTATTAATTTCTTTACTTATATTTGCATAAATGTGTGAAACATTTGTAACTATCAACGAATTAGATGTTCAAAGTGTCCTCCGTCATTTCAGCTACAGTGAGGCACTCGCCGGATGGTGTCGGCGAACGATTTCTGCAATGACTCTTATAAAATCGGCGTACATTCCTTCACAATGTTCTCTTGCTGTACCTCCAGTTCTTTGGCTCTCGTTCTATTAACTGTGCGTTGCAAGTATTCCCATTGGAAAAAATCCATGAAATTCACATACGGTGATCGCGCAGATCATTCTATCGGTCCTCTACGACTGATCCAACATTCACCGAATGTCTCGTTCAGGTAGGCATGAACCGATTGCGCCGAATGTGCAGGTGTGTCATCCTGCTGCCACCAAAAGTTATTCATTAATCCTTCCGACTGTAGCTGCGGAAAGAAGCTGCTCTGCAACATTACTATGTACCAGAATGCTGCGAAATGTCAGATATTGGTACTGTTAACCAAAAACCTACCAAACACACTTCTGGAAAAGAAATAGGTCCCAATGCCTGTTCGACCAGTTAACTTAGCCCAGGCCATCAACTTCGCCCTGTGTTGCATACGTGCAGCGCTACATTGCCGGGGATTGGTTGTTGCCCAAACCTGTTGCGTATCTGCGCCATGCAGAGGGAACACCGCCTCATCGGCAAACAAAATGAAATGCACGTCCAGACTGTTTAAAAACAAACGGGCTAATTCCAGGCGCTGCTGTGAATCGCATGCGTTCAACACTTGCACCTGCAGCGCACTGTACCGCTGGAATTTTTATCCTTCAATATCCGAAGCACAGCATATCGTGTAGTTTTGCAATGTTACGCAAGTTGCCGAAAGCTGAGATGGCTGTTACCGCATACCACTTACGCCACCGTGCAAGTTGATACCACATTCGTGACGCTGAGAGGCCGTCCGTTTATTGATACTGCGAACATCTAATTCGTTGATAGTTACAAATGTTTCACACATTTATGCAAATATAAGTAAAGAAATTAATAAAGGTATATTCTCCATTGTACACGAGAAACACCATCGAAGGCCTGATCAATTTGTAAAACTCGAAACTGTCTGACTGTGAGAGCAATAGTTGCATTCACGACCAAATTGATGTGCTGTCGAATGGTGCAATCAATCCGTCGGGACAGACTTACAACGGCAAATAAAGTACGCTAGGTTTTTGTATGAAACCTTTATATGTTGACCACCTTTCTGTTGTGACCCCTTTGGTCCAGTTCCTTGAGTGGTGAGCATGCGGAGATTCTACTGTATTTTGTTTTCTGTTCAATACGACAAAGTAAACACGTTTGAAATCCCATGATTACCTATGCACAGCAACAGAAGGAAAGCTGATAGATGCGTGCAGTTCAAATTGACCTATCACTGACATTGCGAACAACCAATATGCAGACTTATAACTAACATTGGGTGCGACCGAATAATTTTGGCATGCAGTGTGAATTAAGAAAGTTCAGTCTCCAAGCCCAGGTAATCCTTAAGCTGGCGAAGAAATGTTTCCAGCGCATAGGACTGGATTCATCCAGCTTATCTATCTGACGATTGTCAATGACAAATATTTCGACGCGTTGAATATTCCACGGAAGAACGTGTGTGGATTGCGGTCAAACTCAGCCGGCATCGTAAGTGACAGAAGGGCGACTATCTTTGAAGCGTTTGCATCATTCTGATGCTTTAATGCGACTGGGCGTTTATTCCTTCTGTGACCGAAATCTTCCATAAATCTAGTAGTTTTACCCCCGGATCCTTTACAATAAAATTTTCACTACAATTCACTGTCCCGTTTTGAAAATTCGCTTTGTTGCCCATCATCTTGGATAATTTTATGCTGTATAGTGTACGAGAACAGTGCCGTCTAGCAGTAACAGGACATATTTGCCAGTTTCTACTCTATGCATTACTTCACATAGGGATTAGATCCTGCATCTGATAAATGTCCCGGAGTAACTTAGACAATGCATCTACTCACTGCGTCA